ACTGACTTTTTTTACTTTAATTTTTAAAAGAACAATTTATGTATTGCATAAAATAGAAGTATTTAAAAATAAAATATTTTTATTTTATTTTTTTGTGCAAATTGACTTGTTTATAATTTAGTTTTGAATAAGTAGGATTTAATTTCTGTAGGTTAAACAATAATGCTGAGTTCAATGATAGTTTAAATAAATATATTTTTATAACACTTTTGTTTTTAATTAATTTCCTAATCTTAAGTGGTTCAATTGTATAAATCCTATTTCATTCTTAAGTTTTCAACTATATGAAGTTATTTTAATTTCTTAGAGATTAATTGATAAAATAATTGTTTATTTATTATTTTGTAGAGTACAATTTTATTTGTAAAAAATTAACATAGTTAATAATAAATTAATATACTATCGATATTGCAGTAAATTATTTAGTATAAATATTACAGTTTAGTATATATTGATATCGATAAATTTCAATTATCTTATTTCTTAAATATTAATTAATTAACACATTTATATCTAATTTAAAATAATTATTAAATAATAACATAATAACATATTTATGGTATACAGCCAGAAACTTCAATTAATAATTATTTTGTTACAACTTTCCATAATTCATCTGAATTAATATGTTCGTTCTATTAATTATATTGATTTTTTTAATAAATAGTTAAAAATATTAATTTTTAAAATTTTAAAATCATCACTTTTGTTATTTTATTTAAATTATAAAACATTATAAATTATTATACATATCATTTTTTTAAAATAAAGAATCAAATTCAAGTTAAAAATATAAATTTACTAGAAACAAAAATTAATTAGAATTGGTACGAGAAAAATTTAATTATTAAAACATTTTTAATTAACTTTAAATTTTAGTGTCACATTTATATTTTAGAGAAAATACATACTTCTGACGTAGATTATTATTATTAATTGTGTGCACCATATCTATAATATATATATATATATATATATATATATATTAATATACACACATGATTGCTATGTTAGACATAGAACACTATCTAATCTCAATGTCCCAGTTTATAGAACTACACCGTTCGGTCAAAATGTATCCGTTTGAATACAAGAAGAATAATATGTTCGCATAGAAAAATTATTTCGATATAAAATAATATTTTTGTTCAACTTAAGTATAATATTTTCAAAATCAATTGTATAATGTCATTAAAGATCACTAATCTGTTGAAAAAACGTTTCATATATATTTATTTATAATTTTTATTTACTACACACTTGAGAGGATGCATGATAACGAAACGATTACTATTGTAACTATAATGTATTGGTACTTATTGTACTTAAGACGGAATCGGCGGCAATTTGGATTGTCATCCCTGTAAATTGGACGTACTTCGGGTTACTATAAAAATATACACATTTGTGTGGATGTTTGAATTAATGTATATTTAGGACATATATAAGTTATAACTGGGTTACTATTCTCTCGTCTTCGTTTTCCAATACAAACACATGTAGGTACGAATAAATAAATAATACACAAGTCTTTATTACGCAATATAATATGTGAGGATAGTATCGATATAGTTGGTTAATATTAGCTATCAAAATCAGTAGTTTTGGTAAATGTTTTACATAGCTGTCGTCCCGATTAGTCGTCATCTCATTCCGTATACCGTATAAATATAGTATAGCCGTAAATATTTAACGAAAAATAATTCAATAATTAATAATAATTAATCATAATTTTTTTTTTTTTTTAATTATAATTCTAGTCGAAAAATAATTGAACATCGCAAATAACTAAAGTTTATTTTATGTAATGTTTAAAAAGGAAATATTTTGAATGGAGAATCCCAGGGACTTTTTTTAAATAATGCATGCTGTAATGTGTGATCGACATATATGTAGGTGTATAGTTGTTTATTTTTCAATACGTTGAGAAATTTGTCTGCCTATAGATCAGTTGGATGATAGGTTCGGTACAATAAGGTCGAATCATTTGAAGAAAACAATTTGATAAAAACATATTTTATTATAACCAAACGTTATCAGAATAGTTATGCAAATTAATAGTAAAAGCAAATACGAACTAATAGGATTATAAATTTGAATATTATATGTATATAAGTTATAATTTATAATTAAAAAAATGATAACGAGATTACAAAGGTATTGTAGAAAATATATAACTGAGTATGATAACAATGTATGAAACCATGTTTGAAAAATGAAAAATTCGAATTAATTTTTAATAATAAAATAAATTAATTAATTTTTAAGATATTAAACTCATACTTCGTATAATGATGAAACTATATTGATATATTATTATGATTTTTTGCTGTTGTTAGGTGTATAAAATATTGTTTTCGAAAAACAAATAGGTGGATACAAGTTTTATTTATTTTTATTTAATTTTTATTTCTCAGAAACAAGAATATTGTTTTGTCCTTTTGAAACTCTCAGGGGTGGTATTGGGACAAAATATCCAAGGACAAAATATCCTGTTATAAAATATCAAATTCAAAATATCCAAGGTTAAAATATCTAACGGATAAAATATCCAGGGATCAATAACCAATATATAGGACAAAATATCCAAATAAAAAAAAAATTATAAAATCTGTATTATTAATACTTGTATAATTTTTTTTATTTAAATACATTATTTTTCATTTTTAGATTATATTTTAATAACATTTAACATTAATAATACTTTATAATACAGTTATAAAATAATAATAATAAAAATAATATGTTGTGTTATATAATAATTATATCTTTAGTTTTATGTAGTGCGTCACAACGTAATATAGTTTTATTTTTACTATTATTATTTTATTACTATATTATAAAATATTGTTAATTTTGATTTAAAAATGAACAATGTATTTAAATAAAAAATAAATAAAAAAATGATGTACAGATATACAGATTTTTATTATTTTTTTATTTGGATATTTTATCCTATACATTGGTTATTTTATCCCTGGATATTTTATCCGTTGGATATTTTAGTATAGGATATTTTGTCCTTGGATAATTTGTTCTAGATTTCTCGGGAATAGTGGGGCAGGAGTCACAAGTTAGATTATTGAATGTAACAAGTGTACCTATTTAATTTATGATTATGACATAAAATTTGATATATTATTTACAAAACAAATAATGACGGTTCAAAGAGTTACTCGTGTTTGTATAGTCAAGTTCTTAAATGTTTGAATAACTCGATGTATCCAATAGAAAACTGAGCAAAAACAGTTTTTTAAATTTATTTTCAAACAAAATGATTGGTTGAAAATTAATAAACCATAATGAAAAAAATTACGTTGTTCCTGTGTTAAAATTATTGAGTTAAAATATTAATTATAGCTTTATGGAATAATATACATAATGCGTTAGTGATCTCATGTTTAGAAATTTAGTAATTCTTCAAGTGTGAAGTGCAAAAATCATTAGATAACGCAATAGAGCGACAAATTGTATTATAAAATAAATAAATCTTTTTGATTATACAACTTAATCATTCTCGATAGAAGATTCGTGTAGAAATCATAAATGAAACGTACAACCTTAAGTATGCGCTTAATAAATCAATAGTTCTAACGTATATTTAGCTTTATAGTGATAAAATAACCTAACTACTTAATAGTGATAACAGTAAAGTTTACTCGTTTTTTGAATGCAATAATTTCTAATAAACGAAAAATTGATGTAACAATATTCCCATTCCTTAAAATATATTAAAAATATTTTTGTTTACATCAACAGAAACAGATTTCATTGAAACGTGATTGAACTTTAGGTTAGGTTATTAAAATATCTATAACGAGATATCTTAGATTATTTTCATTTAGATCACTGAAATATTACTCGATTCGATTTTTTTATTTTACAAAGGTTATCATAAATTGTTCAGATTTAATAAAATTTTCGTTACAACAGTTACATTATCATCAGTGTTAACAACAATTTTTAGTTAAAAATAATAATTTTTTAACACTTATTGATGGGTATAAAATACAAATTTTCGGAGGTGTGTAAACTCCTAAGTAAACATTGTAAACAATTAAAATAATTTTAATATACTCGTATAAATTAGATGAATTACCTGGACTCACCGATAGATATTCTACTTCTTAGGGTTAGAGCAATTATTAATATATTAATGTTAATTAATATATTAATATTGAACCTAAACAATTTTAAAATGCACAATTGTCATATATTCTATTCGAATATGTTTTAATTTATTTAACCTAAATTGATTTACATGTAACTCGATTGATAATTAATAAAATTAACATATCGAACAGAAAATACACGAACAATTAAAATATGATTTATTCGTTTGACAGAAGGTTTTCATTTCTAATAGAATCAGGCCCGTATTTAGGGGGGGGGGAGACACAAGGCCCGGGGGTGTCAGAACCCCAAAAGGGGAAAAATTTTTTAGCAAAATAATTTTAAAAATAATGTACCTAAACGAAAAAATAAAAAAAAAAAAATAGTATATTTTATTATGTTATAATTTGTAAATAAAAAAAAAATGTATATTTATTATATTATAATTTGTTAATTAAAAAAAAGGAAATTGTTTAATTTGTTAATTAAAAAAAAGTATTAAACGATTTTCATTTATAGTTATATTTTAATATTAAAGAATTTCGATTATGGACGAAATAATAAGTGTTATATTATTATTATTTATTTTGAGGAGGGGACATAAATTATATGCCCAGGGGCGCAAAATTTTTGAATACGGGCCTGAATAGAATGAATTACGTATACTTGTAAAACAAACCATTTTAACAAAATTGAATTATTGTAAATTGTATGCCGTTACCCGGTTTTTTTTTTATTTTCGCGTGTCCCTTTGGATCGGGAGTGTTGGGAAACGCTGTTTTTGCGGAAAAGCGTTTCAAAACGGCTAAGAAATTTCCGATAGGTTGACGATAACATTACTGAATCGTACAACGTACCTGACCGGTTATTTTATTCTTACGTTACAGAGTCGGAACCGAAGAACCCAAAGTGCCGTAAGTACAGGTTACAGTTCGCGGTTGACCCGCTACCCGAAGGCGAATGGCTGACCGCGGCCGAGCTGCGACTGACGCCGTTGCGGGACAGACCGGCCGGGCAGCCGGGTCGCGTACAAGTACTCGTGCACGACATCGTGCAACCGGGCGTGCGGGGCGTGTCGAAGCCGGTGCTGAGGCTGTTGGACTCGCAGTTCGTGGACATGCGAGACGTGGCGACGGCGGCGGACGACGCGGTGGTCACGTTGGACGTGACGCCCGCGCTGGAGAGGTGGTCGCAGCACGGCGGCCGGTGGTCGGCCGTCAACCACGGGCTGCTGGTCGAGACACTGGCGGACGGCCACGCGCGGTCGCCGGTACCTGACACGTTCGAACTGCGGGCCGCCGGCAGGCCGGCACTGCTCGTGTACTCGGATGACGGCAAGAACAGCAGGCCCGTGGGCCCGCCACGGCGGAAACGTTCGCCCGGGACCGGCCAACAGCAGGGCAGAAGCGGCGGCGGCAGTAAGCGACGGAAAGACGGCAGCGGCGGCCGCGACATCTGCCAGAGGCATCCGCTGTACGTGGACTTCACGGACGTGGGCTGGGACGACTGGATCGTGGCGCCGCCCGGCTACGACGCGTACTACTGCCACGGCGACTGTCCGTTTCCGGTGGCCGAGCACCTCAACTCCACCAACCACGCCATCGTCCAGACGCTGGTCAACTCCATGAACCCCACAGCCGTTCCCAAGGCGTGCTGCGTGCCCACGCAGCTGGCATCCATATCGATGCTGTACCTGGACGAGGACAACAAAGTGGTGCTGAAGAACTATCAGGACATGCAAGTACTCGGGTGCGGGTGCAGGTAGGCTTCGGCCTCAGTCATCGTCTCCGTCAACCACACCGACACGTTCACATACATTCAAACAATGATACACACACACACACACACACACACACACAGCGTCGCCCAAAGATATTATTATCATTATTATTATTATTATTATTATTATTATTATTATTATTATTCTATTTTTAATATATATTTACGTATATATATTATTTGTTTTATCATTATTACTATTACGCGAGTCTCAAAATGAGGTGGTTTTCTTTTTTACACATAGACACGTAAACGATTTTTGTTTTGTTTTTAATAAAAATATCTGACTGTGAAAACTATACGGTTCAAATGATCACCACCAAAACGGAAGAGCATGATAATTTTCATAAATAATGTGAACCGATTTCCGACGGAATTTTCTCTGGACGGATGCTTATACGTGCTATATAATATCGTAGTTAATGTTAGTTCATGCATTGTGTAAATCCTGATTCTTCAAAAATTTATTAGATCTCCGACAAAACCGACAACGGATATTGCGCAATAGCAGTATACAATATTGAGTATTATGTAATATATTTTATCGTTACCTAGAGTCAGAGACGACCAATTTTTTTTTTTTTTTAAATAAATGCGCTCTTCGATTTCCCCCGGTAATTTTTATAACATGCTTTCGGGTGAAACGAAAAACAATAAAAGATATTAGTTCTAAACTGATCAACCACGTATTGGTAGTAGCTGGTCAAAGGTATGATCACGAAACCAATTAATCGCATAATTAATTACATGTCTATATCGATTGAAGTAAGAGTATTGCGTACACAGTACGTATCTTTTATCGGATTTGTCGAGTTTAACCGTCAACGTTTCTCGGATTCATCAATTTGGTTGGAGAGTTTGACATTCTCTCCATTCTCTTCAGTCCCGACCGCTCATCAAATCCGTCAATCTGTTCACTATATCTCATCACCGCCAAACCCATTGTATACCCAAAATCATGTTTCTCATTTTTATACTTATTTATTGTTTTATAGCCTTTGTACACACCAACCAGTGAACATAATGTTATATATTGTTTTATACATCATGGCCATATACTAGTCTTTTTATTTAATTAAATATTGTAATTTTTCGCCCCGTAATCAAAACCCAACTAAATTACTATTTTACAGTTGTTATATTATATTACTTGCATTTTTGTTTGTTTATTTATTTTATTAAATTTTGACTTGCCTCGATATGTTACCATAATATTATTGTCCATGTAGATTTAGATCCGTGTTTTTATTTAATATCTTACGAATAAAAATTATAGAATACAATTATTGAAAAAAAGAGAATTTACATAATGTCTATACATACTTTGAAAAGAGTATCCTATTTATTTGTATATTGTGCATATATTTTTGTAAATAATAAATTTTTGTGTTAAATTAATTGTGTTAAAATTATTTTATAAAGTTCAAAATTCCCACCCTCCGATACTGCAAAACAAATTTATATTTGTATTATTCCTCCTGTCGTGACAATAATGCATCTTGACGTTCAGTATATTTACTTCAGAAAAGTATCATTAAAAAATACACTAAGAGTGAAATAAAATTAAGGTAATTGACGTTTCCTGGAGTATCTATTATTCTTTTTTTCCTTAAAATTATAATATATACACATCTAAAGTTTGTTTGTATTTACCGGCATATTAGCTTGTTTAATATACTTATCAAACTGATACCTGGAATCCTATTATATATTTTTAGCAATAGGAATATGATTTTTTTTTTTTGTTATTTCAAGCAAAGCTTTAAAATTATCTCTACAATTTGGTTTCAATGTAATAAAATTTGTTCAGTCAATGTGCTAGTTTTAGTAACCAAAGGTAATGTTCTTTTTTTTTCATTTTTATTACAAATTTTCTAACTACTAGTTAAGAGGTTTAAGCATACAAAACTGTTTATGTAGTATTTAACAGTACTTTTTACTGTACCTACGTATTATACAATTCAAGTCTCAAAAAAATACCAGACATAATTGCGGTAACAGAATTGAAGGTCTGTGACCCGTGGGTGTTCAGTTTGTATTGTCAACGAAAACCGTGATGTCTCATTATTTAGTACCAGAAAAGAGGTCGCCGAGCACTGTTTTGTATCTTTCATAAAAATAAAGGTATCGATTTCGTATATCTTGGTACAGGGACAACTATCCATAGTACTCAGTGAACAGCATCCAGTACACGATATTATCGTGAATCCGTTATCTACCAAACTGTAAACACAATGATAACTTTGTGGCACTAAAATAACCAGTTACCAGTGTTGGGCATTATCTAGATAAATAATTAATAATCTTTTATATTATCTAGATAGTTGAAGAAATAATTATCTGTTGTATTATCTTAGACAATTAAAAGTTTTTTTAAAAGTCATTCATTAATCATTAAAGTTATAATTTGTTGGTTAGTTTTAGTTTACTATTTAAATATGGAAGAATTTGCAATTCAGTTATATCATACAAAACATAAAAATAATGCGAAAACGACGAACAAAGTCGTTCTGAATAAATAGAACAGATAAATAAAACGATGTGTTGCCTGTCTGATGGAAAGTTTTTCAAAGTAAATATATGACAGTCCAATGTTAGTATTGCCCTAAGACGATTAGTGGACAAAAGTAGTCGACTAGGAATTTTTTAAGTCACAGTAGAGTAAGTAGCTACATTACATAATTATTTAACCGATTAAAAACTATAATTTATTTATTACAATAGGTACCTATAATTTACTTCAGAACCAGTAGTTGCATTTAAATATACTTGTTAATGATGTACCTATTTGTCTGTATTATATATTCTTCTTCTTTTTGGTTTCGGCCTTTAAGACCATGCTGCTAAATACAAATCTTGCCATTTATCACTGTAATCTGCAGCTTTTCTCCATCTTATTCATGGTCCTATCGTTTTTATGGTCTTTTTTACGCAGTCTTCCCACCTCAAACTGAGTCTCCCTAAAGGTCTTTTCCTTATAGGCTCTCCTACTATAACTTACATTATTAGAGATCCTTGTTTACGTCAGGCATGCCCCCCTCTACATGAGTCTTCTTTTTGTGATCTCACTGTACTCCTGTATTATATATAGTTAGCAAAAATAAATTAAAACACTTTTTTTTCTTTTTCTTTTTCTAGTTATTTATTTTTTTATCTTTTATACTTAGATAGTACTTATTTTTAAAAATCTTCTATCTGTACTTTAAATACCTATATTTTTACTGACTATTTTTTTATCTTTATCTATATAAATTGTAAGTTATCTATGCCCAACAATGCACACTACGAAATTGTTTCAATCCTTTTCGGAAACTTGTATATAACGAGTAACTTATGCAATAGAATCATCTGCTTTATTATTTATAATGTGAAAGTGTATTTTTGTTATTAGAATTTCAAATACAAGATAAAAATGTTAAAAAATGTAAGTTCAGAAAAAAAATGGGGTCAGAATTTCATGTACGAGTTATAAATTATATACTTCAACAACCTATAAATAACTATAATGCAAATGTCGGAGAACAATAGATGATCAGATGCAGTTAAAATATTGTCGACAAATCTGAATATAAATATATATATGTTAGCCGCTACTGGAAAGAACAGATTGGATACGAGACCGAGCGCGTCAGTCATTCATCGTTTCGCCCTTCGCATAAAATAAATCTGTAGCTGACGCACAGGTAATGGGACACAATTTGAACTTTGTACGGGTTCCTACTTATTATGACGGATGTGTAGTCATATTATCTATATATTCATACATTTGTAAGCAACAATGAATTATCGAATTCGAAAAGCGATTTCAAGTTAAATTTGGGAGTGATTTATTTTTCACATTTATTTTTAAAACATAAATGTATTAACATTTCAATATAGTATTATAAATTATATTAAAGAAATCGTCATTTAAACATAACAGATTTACATGATATGCAAATACAGTCGACTCTCGATAATTTGAAGTTGACGGGGCTGTTGAAAAATTTCGAATTACTGAGAACTCGAATTATTGAGTAGTTCGAAAAAACGAGAGAGAGCAAAAAAAAAATTCGAATAACTGAGTTAGAGGAAAATTTTGTTTTTTATTATACATAATTATTAATTATTTCAGAAAATTAGGTATTATTAGTTATTTATTGTTTTTAAAATGTAAATTTTAACTATATAATAATTGTACTATGTATATTAAATTATTATTTTTTGAAGAAATCTGTAATGATTTTTTGCTCAATTGAATTTAGTTTCATTTTATCAATAGTATTTTTTGAATTTAACGTACTCATCACAAGAACTTTACAACTGACCAAATGAAACTAAAATAAAACTACATTTGGCTGACAACTATCGCAGTAATAACTTACGGTTAGTGACGATTAATAAATAAAACGATAAAGTTCTCACAATATTTATTCTATAGAATTTTTTTTTTTTTTTTTATTTAAATGAAAAGACAATCTATACACAAAATTTGTACTATAAGTCATTGTGATAAAAATATATAATATAAACATAACATGAGTCACTTGATAGGGGAATTCACCCACTGGTAATACCCCATGTAAAATTGTATAGATAAGTTACTTATCTAGTTGTAATTATAAGGTATTTGTGTAGTTTTATTTATTGTCATAATAATAAGTCGCGATTCCAGTTTCTTTTCAGTCTGCGTAGAGGCTGGTCCAGAATAAGATTTATGGACATTTTTTGAATTAAGGGGTTGGTATGCATTGGTAGTCTTATGTAGTAGGATTTATTATGGCATTTTGAAAGTTCATTTATTGTTTATATTTGTAAGTCATTATGTAAAGCTTGATTTGTTATATACTAGGGTGCACCAGATGATACGAAGGGTTATATTTTGAAATGACTGAATAGGTCGAATGTTTGAAGGTATGGCTGACCCCCAAATTTGGATACCATAGGACCATAGTGGTCTTATAACGGTTTTATATAAGAGTATTTTTATTTTAAGTTTGAGTTTGAACTTTAGGAGAGGTCGAAAAAGGTGGAGTCTACTAATCGCCATTTTTCTTTTGTTTTTGAGGTGGGGCCCCAAGTTTGACACTTGTCAACTAAAATGCTGAGATATTTAGTTTCATTAATTACAGGAATATTTACGTTGTTTAATTTGATTAAGGGACAAATACCATAGCGAAGGATAAAATTAACTTGAGTTGACTTACTCTCGTTTTTTTTAATCAACCATTTTTTGCACCAGGCTTCAATTAAGCTTGCATGATATTGCAGGTTGTGAGCAACTGTAAAAATATCATCACTTGTGGACAATAAGGCTGCGTCATCATCAAAGGTGGCTAATAGTGTGCTAGAGGTTTGAGGGATATCAACAATATAAATGTTATAATGGTCAGGTGCTAAATCTCTACCTTGGGGGACATTCGCAGTGATGTTAAATCGGGGCGAGAAAGAGTTGCCTTGTGTCATAGTGAAACTTTGATTTTCTAAAAATGATGTAATAATTAAGAATAATTAGGCTGGCATGCTTTTTTTTGTTTAAATAGTAAACCGTCGTGTCAAACTTTATCAAATGCCTGAGCAACATCCATGAAGAGCCTAGCACAAAATTGCTTTTCTTCTAAAGCAGAGGCAGTAGTGTCAGTTAGTCGATGAACTTAGTATATTGTTGAGTGTCCAGGTCGAAAGCCAAACTGGGTGGTAGGTATAATTTGATACTCGTGTAAAATAGGTTGGATTTGAAGAAGAATTAATTTTCGAACAATTTATTTAAAGTTAATAAGAAACTGATAGGTCTATACGATGAGGCTAAGTTTTTTGATTTCCCTACCTTTGGTATTACGATTACGACCGCAAGTTTCCAGATAATGGGAAAATAGGATAGTCGCAGCATTGAGTTGAAAATGTATGTTAATGAGAGGATACATTTTTTTGACAGGTTTTTTATGACTTTAATAGTGATTAAGTCGTGTCCAGGTGCTTTACGTGCGGCTAGTTTCTTGATAAGAGAAACAATTTAATTGGGTGAAATTGGTTTTGTAGAAGGATATATTGAGAGGGAAGAAGAGATAAACTGACTAACTTGGCTTAAATGTTCGGGATTTGGAAAAATGTCTTGGTGAGGCTTGAATGTATTGGCTAAATGTTCAGCAAATATTCGGGATTTCTCTTCGTCTGTTGACGCTAACAAATTGCTACTTATGAGGAGATGTAGGATGGATTTGTAGATTTTGGTTAATTTTTTTATAGCTCTCCATAAAGAATTAGGTGTGGGCTGTAACGAGTTGATATAGTTCGCGTATTGATCGGCTTTATATTTGATTAGTTCTTTTTTCAAACAATTTGATAGTCGGTTAAAGGTTTTTTTGTCGCTGGAGAGACGTAAATTTTACCATGTAGATCTCGTACGTCTTATTGTGTTTAAGATAAGTCATAAATTATATGGAAGAATGTTGTTATATGGAAAATTAGAGGGGATAGTTTTAGTTGAGAAAACCGCTGCTTTTTTACAATTTCGACTGTTTTGTGCTGCATTTTCAACTTCGTTTCGTGTTTTAAGTGAAACTCTAAGATTTATTAAGTTATCAAGATTGGTTTTGAATAGATTCCAAGCAATGGGACCTTTAGTGAGTGAGGGTTAATCATTTAATTTTGGAGATCCACCAGTTGAGAGGATTACGGGGATGTGATCACTGGATATATGACAAATATTATTGACGTCTGTGTTTAGATGGTTAGGAATATTTGTTATAAAAAAGTCAAGAATGTCCAGGTTGCGATTTGCATGGGAAGGCCAGTAGGTAAGTCCAGGTGGAGACACAAATGACAGATTACAATTATTTAGAACAGAATAGAGTATTTTTCCTCTTTGGTTATTGGAGATACAGTCCCATTAAGAGTGCTTAGCGTTGAAGTCACTCCCTGCTATGAATTAATGGCCTAGTATATTGAAGAAATGGAGGAAAGCGTTGCGTTGAATGACATGACGAGGTGGGCAATTTATAGCAGATACTGTTATTGGGATACTATTTATTTTTATTAAAATACTAGTTGCTTGAATAGAGGGCTCTTGGAAAGAAGTTAATATATTATGTTGGATGGAGTTGGATACTAATATATAGGTACCTGCATGTGCTGTGCTGTCAGAATGATTCGTTTATAAAGAGTGTAGTTGAAGATGCTGAAATTGGATTTTTCAGGGAAGTGGGTTTCGATTATTAGTGCAATATTAATTTTTAAATCGTTTATAACGGTTTGGAGTTCGTTTTTGTGTTGGTGAACGCCGTTTGCGTTCCAGAGGAATAATCTGAGAAGAAAGTTATTGTTTAAGTTATTGCTAGTCATTTTTGAGTAGTATTTTGTTTATAACAGTAGTGAGGAGAAAAATTAAGGGGTTGATTAGAGATTTTAAATCAAATATAAATGATGCGAATTATAGATAAAATAAATTTGCTGAATATACTTTGAATTGTCAAGCATTGAACGGATGATACTTCGAATTGTCACTTGTTAGTTGCAAGTTTTCCCAAAATTTAATTTTGAATTACTGAGTGTACTTAAATGCATTGTTTTTATTCGAATTATCACGTGATTTTCAAAGGACCAAGCAATTACTTTTAATTACCGAAGGTTTCTAATTATCGAAGGTTTGAATTAGTGTTAGGATATATATTCAGTTTTCTTAAATATTCGTATAATCGGAATATGATATACGGATATTTTAAATTACAAAATCTGAATATTCACAAATATCCTTAATATTATATGAATATCCGTAGTATTTGGATATAAATATTCCAATATTAAATAGTATTCGAATTTTTTTACTTTCGATGTATTTAATCAAGTATTTTTTTTTTATTGCGACTCGTAACATAAATTTAATTAAATATATTACTTATATATTACATATATTTCACTGGTCACTGACTAGTAGTCAGGTTTGGTTAAATTACATTAATTACTAAAAAATATATATATTATAACATACGATTATATGCATATTATAAAATGAATGGCATTGTAGCATATTTGAGGTCGTTATGGTTTCTTTGTATATTCTTTATTATCTGTTAAATTTAGTATTGTTCTCAACAAAGTAGTGTGTATTTTAAACTATTAAAATGGGTGATTGTAAATTTCGCCCGAAATGAAAAAGTAAAAACAAAGTCTATGGTAAATTTCGCCTGGGGAAAATAGCTTAGTAAAAAAGGTACATGTAAATTCCGCCTGGAAAAATAAATATTTTTAAACTAAGCGTTCTGTGACTAATGTTTGAACGAATACGGAACAATCGTATTGCGATAGACGACAATCAATAACATGTCATATCTTACCAGCTGTCACATTGTGGATCTTATAATTGGAAATATCAGATTGAAATATCAGAAATTGTGTTCCAATAATATGGAAGTGATATTTTGATCAGTCTTTATTGTTATAATTATTACTACTTTTACGATTTTTAATAATTTTATATGATATACATTATACATGACTTATAATATGTGCTAATTATTGACGTAATATATGAAATATATATTTATTTAAATACCTACTTATAAACGATAATGATTAATCTATGTTATGTCAGTAATAATATGATTAATAAGACACATTCAGAAATTCGTTTATTAACAGTAAGTAATAAATGTATTGTTTATAAACCTATTGGCTCTTATACCTATACGGTTTTGATCGAAAAATACAAATAAAAGTAACTTTAAACTTTTAAACTTCATTAAGTATTAAGAATTTCTTATTTATAACTTTAGTTATATGTAGGAAGTGTTCATTAACTATCAATTTTTTTCGAGCGGAATTTACATGAGCCCATTAAAACTATGATATAATTACAATTTTGAATAAAGGTATGGTTAGATTTATTGTTATGATATAAAGATAATATTAATAAAATAAAATATTACACATTTTAATTTTTACAGCAATTTATATGATGACATTGTAATTCAATGCGATATAGGAGCAGTAATTAGCCGCAGTTGTCTTTCTACAAAGTCCAGCGTTATTAATTCTTGGATAGGTGTAGACCATTAAACATCTTAGAAACAAAATCATTCTCTTACGCTACATGTTTCAACCTATTGATCAACAAACAAAAAATCTATACTGGATATAATTTCCCACATGAGCTCTGCAATGACCAGAACAGCCATGGGTCAAATGAAAATGAAAAACTTTTTATTATCTAATTCGGTGGTGCCCAACCCGCTGTCCACGAAAGTATTCTCTGAGGCCCAATATACATTTTTAAAATAAAACAAAATATTCAAAAAAAAGTAAAATTATTAAAAAATACGATTTTTCTCGATTTATTAATTTTATTTTCGAATATTTTTAAGTATGCATTTTATGATTTAATATCGATATGACCCGTGCAATTACGAGTAAAAGAGCTTACTAATTAAATTTGCACATACAGCTTGTACCTCAATCTGTAATCTTTTCAAAAGTCAATACAATATATGAAAATAAGTCTAATATGTACCTACATGTATATTGTATACCTACTATGTGTAACAAACAAAATTATTTATTTATTTATTTATTTAAACGGGTAAGACCCAATTACAATTTTTTAAAATTTAATAACAATTTGTGACTTAAATCTAATAAAAGAAATACAGTAAATGTATAGTATAAATAAAAAATAATAATATTAAAAGCTATAAAACAATATAAAAATATAATAAGGACAATAACAATATAAGTGACAGAAATAGTTCACAAATACGCAATAAAGTTACAAAAACATTCAAAAGAAGGAAAACTAAATAGATCTATTTGGACGTCATTAGTTATTTTCATTAATCTATTAATAGGTGAACAAAGTGCGTAATTAGTTCTTTGTAATGGAATATAAAAAGTATTTGCAGATCTAGTACGACAATGAGGAATAATAAAATTTAAGCAGCTGAGTAATTCGGGACAATTTAAAAAACCATTTACTATTTTATATAGAAATTTCAAATCAATGATTTTTCTCCTTGCCGCTAGAGTGGTCATATTTAATTTGATTAATAACGGTGTATATTGTGAGTGAGGTTTACGTGGTATATTGCATTTGTAAGAGATAAAACGAAGAAAACGATTTTGAATAGCTTCTAAGCTCTGTGTATGAACCACACTAGAAGGTGACCATACGACGGAGTTGTATTCCAGAGAAGAACGCACTAGAGAAAAATACAGAATTTTTAAGGCATCGGAATTAGTAAAATCTTTACAAGTTCTATTAATGAAACCTATTATAGTAGATGATTTTTTAGTTATGTTTAGATAATGTTTATTGAAAGAAAAGGTTGAGTCAAAAGTAACCCCCAAATCGCAAATTTCAAAAATTATATTATTATATTAATATTGATATTATTAGTTCTTTTATATTTGGTCGCCCGCTCACATAATTGTGAACATAATTGTTTACCAAAGTGGTCCACTGAGGAAAAAAGGTTGACCATCACTGATCTAATTTATATATTTTTTTCAAGATGGTTTGAATTAAAATTTAGTAGTTCAACATGAATATAATTTACAAAAAACAGCATGTTTATTAAAAGGATAATAAAGTAGAAAATAATATATAGCTTAAAAAAGTACAAGGCAAGTGTGATGACTGTTCTGTCATAATTATTATCAATAGATTATTATAATAAATCTATTTTTACCAATAATTATAAAATAAATAAAGATTCCTTATTAAAATTTATCATATTATTTAAATATATCAATCATAGTTTATATCAGAAATTAAATTATTTCATAGAATAATAATATAATGATTTTCCTACATTAAATAAAATTTTAACTTTGAAGTCGTGAAATAAAAGTTTCCTTAACTACATAAGGCCTTTTAAATTGTACGTCACGTGTTCTATAAAAGTTGAGCATCAAACATGGTTTTTAAGTATAAGTTTATGTTTAAACTTTAAGCCACTTTTCACTTTATAAATATTCCATTTTAGTATAAATAAAATACTTACTAATTTATTCAATTTTATTAAATCATAATGTTTTCTAGTAAATAAATTATCTTTTATTCTTTTAATTATATTTTTGTATACGATGATTGCCTAACGATTAATATTTTAACAGCATAAGTAATACATACAGTATATAAATAAAGTTAGAATTGTTCACAATTAATAACAATTATTTAAATAAAAAAGCCAGCCTCTAACGTAAAGGCAATTATTTTGTTAAGGGCGGGTTCAGATTCAGAACTAATAATGAAGTAAAGGTCTACGGTGATATTTAGAGATTTTATGGAATTTAACAAAATTACGCGTTTCGTGCGCAGAGAGAGCTATTCGGAAATAATGTGGGAGATATCAAAAGATCTTTCTGAAAGATGTAAGGTAGATATGATAGTTGACCAATGATACCTAACCAATGGTGAAATTGTGGGGGGAAAGTGCCGCCTCTGATAATTTTTTGAGAGATAAGGATAATTTTGCCCCCCCCCCAAAATAATCCAACAGTACAAATAGCACCTTTTATTAATGAACTCTTATGGGTATTATTTAACAATATTGGTACCTAGTACCTGCTACCTAAAATTTATGTTAATCTAAACCATAAAATGAGTTTAAAGACTTTTGTAAAATCAAATAATTAGATATAGTGTATAAAATACATACAATAAAAATATGTTTTAACTGGTAAGGGGAGGGGTGTCAGGATTTTGGTAGTAATAAATATATTATATTGCCCCCCCTTAGATTTTTTCCCAGTTACGCCACTGGATATGACAGAATTTTTTTGTTTTTTAAATTTTTTTAATTTATCTTATACATTTCATCATATAACTCATTATAATTTCAAGAGTTGTTTAAACCCTATTTGTAGATATGGGTTGGTAAAAATGTGTGTCCTGAACGTAAATGATTAAATTGTACAATAATAGATCTAGGTAGATTTAATATGTCGAACCATATTTTATGTTGAATATTATTATTATTATATCTGGAAAAAAAAATCTGCTGAGAAATTTCCCCAATAAGAGGTCCAAAGATTTGTGGTAACAAACAAATGGAATGAAATCTGTGCGCAGATGTTGTATAAGAATAGGACAAATTAAATTGAACGTGAGTTTGGGTAAACTAACAGCTTCCTCATAACCATATATTCCAATGTGACTAAGGGTTCAAAGAAATTGAATTGTGTAATTTGATTAGTGGAGTTTGGAGGTGATTTGTTTTATGCTAAGAACTAGAGGAGATACGTGGGATTTAAAATAATTGAAATTAAGAGATTTATTTATGTATACAGTGAAACCTTTAATGGATACCTATAAATAGCGGACACCTACGAATAGCGGTCATTTTTATGGGCACATGAGCATTTTTACCACTTTTATATAGGAAAACCTCTAAATACCGGAGACTTTTATGGCAATTTAATGAAAATTTTTATCGTAAATGTAGAATTATCATGGAATGTCCTAATAAATATCCATCCATATAATCTAATCTTACTACTATACATTATTAAACTATGTACAATTATAGTTTATCTTATTCGTCCATTATTGCGTCGATGAAAACATTTTTCTAGTTAGTTGATGTTATCCTACTCGTACTTAGTTGTGTTTGTGATTCCATTACATAGGAACGTATTCTTAAACTTGAAGTGTGCAATGGCTAGTAAACGAAAAAGATTTAGTCTGAAAGAAAAAATTAAGGATCTTGAATTTTGAGCATATTATACGAATATGGGTGTTCATGCGTTATCAGACAATTTTAGTGTTAGTAAAATATAAATCACTGTTATCATAGGTAATAAGATAGACTCTCTTTACTAATCTTGAGCTGAAAAGGGAGAAGAGAATCGAAAATGGACAAAGCTTCAAAAAAACAGAAACTTCTGTTATCGACAATGAAGTGTTTAATTGGAAATAAGAAGCCTACGAGAGACACTGGCAGTAGTGAAGGGTGTGAGCAAATACACTTCTTCTATCGATATACAGAACACTTCATTGTTCTCCAATCCAGTTTAATTAGAAAATGCCTTGATAAACAAGATAACTATGCACCAAGGTCTTAAACAAGTTAAAGTAACAGATTTTTTTTTCAATAAATATTAATGTTTATCTTAAAATTATTTTTATTTATATTTTCATTGATTTTTTCATAAATAATATATCATAATTTTAAATTATAATTTGTACAGTTAATATTTGCATTAAAATAATACTAATATCATTATTATAAATACTATATAAATAATAAATATTGTACATATGTAGTTATTAATTTCTTCGAGTTATTTAAATTACGGATTATTAAATACATTAAACATTAAACATTATTAAATAACGGACAAAATTATGGCAACCGAGATATACGATATTTAGAGGTTTCAGTGCATATTATAAAATAATCGGAATAAACTCGTTTTGCTTAATTTAATCTTTAAAAATTATATATATGTGTTTTTAACAATTGTGTGTATTGTACTCCATGTTTGTCGAATCTAAAAAGAATCTCAATTTATGTAAATTTTTATGATTTATTAAGATAATTGCTGAAGTGATGGTACTTCAAAAAGTCGTATAATCTCAATATTTTTATGATTTGACCTATCAGCATAATATGGGATTAAATTACAAAAACTTATAATTGTTTATATTCTAATCGTTTATACATTATCAACAGGAAGGGACTTAATAATGTAATTGATATTATAATTAAGTGAAAAGTACGTTAAAGATTAATGATACCTATTTATTATCTAAAATTAAATGTATTTAATTTAATAACGATATTAAGAAAATTGTAATTAAAAGGAGTATATGTTAATCATTCGTATAGTATGTATTAATACATTTATAACATATAAGTACCTAGTTCGTAGTAACAGCCAACAATTCATCATTTTATACTTTATTATAATACAAGTAATATTTTTTCTATATATATTTATATTATCAACTATGTTAAAAAACTAACATACAAATCAATAACTCCCGTCTCATATGACACATATATCAGGATCTTATTACACTCGTGATTTATTATGTACCTATTTGTTTATGACGATAACCTGGCTTGTACTAAAATACGAAAATGTTTCATTCCTACTTATTTGTTTATAAATATAGTACCATAATAGGTTTGCATAAATTACTGTTAATATAATATACTTATTTTATGTTATAAAATATTTATTCATTAAAATAAAGTAAGAAAAAAACAATTAGAAAATAATTGTTAAAATTGTAATATGATTCGAACAAAATGTTTATTTAGCGAAATAATAAAAAAATTATTTGCTTGTTACAATATTTTCATGAGGATTTTCTTTTTTGTTCAACATTTTCGAATAACTTTCATTAAACTTAGTGGGTTAGATACACAAAAAAAATTTGATTTTTAACGATTACAAGGTTATTTTAAATAAATATTTTTCCACCATATTAATCGCTTAAGGTCGTTTATATTGAATGGAATGTTCCATTATTTTTATCTCCCCAGTTTTACCAAACATAACATCATTAATGTTTATGATAGTATATTTATAGTAGGTATATATTTTGATCATTTTTCAATTATTTTTTCCGTATTGTTTTTTTTTTAAAAATTATGAAAACATTTTTAATTTTTTTTATATTAGAGCAATAATCTATATTTAGATGTACATCGAAATATAACATTTTTTGATAGGTAGTATGTTATCTGAAATATTGTTCAAGTTATTATGAAATTTTCTAAGTGTTATATAATTTAGATTAAATTGAAATTAATTCCGCTAAATCAGGCAATAACTCTAATTAATTAATAAAAAAATCCTAATTCATATTTTACAAATCATACAATGTTTCAATTACAATTATGCATTTTATAACAGTAATAATCATGATTCATGATTTTTGCATTCTTGTGCAATTAAATATATTCTATTTTTATTTGACAAATATTACATAAAACGCGTATTACGGTAAACTTTATGAAAGGTATATTATATTTTTTATTTCACAATATTATTGTCCTAAATAATTTACATACCTATTTATTATTATCAAACTTCTGCTAAATCGTGTAACATAAACCAAAATATTTAATCGTCTATTCGTTGGTGTCAGTAAAATTATAATAATTCGTCTCGAAGCATCAGTTTACACCTAGAATTACAGGAAATGACAGTGTAGGATGTAAGTGGTTTCAAATGGTTTATAGCCGAAGGCTTACATAAAATCCCGGTTTAAATATATCAATCCAGTTTGAATGTGGTTTAAAAATATCAAACAAGTTCAACAATATCAATACGGATTTGGAGCGTGAACTGGTCTCAAATATTCAAATGCAGCGTAACTGCGATGAACTCGTAAAATACATTTCGAA